TATTGCTCTGTTTCTTTCTTGCGCACATTAGTCACGGCATGCAACCCCTAGATAACGGGCCCTACAACGCCTTTAAGGCTCACTACCAGAAATTCCTCTCTCAGCTAAATTCTTTGACGGATGCCTCGCCTGTTAATAAGATCAACTTCATTCGGTGCTATAGCCAGGCCCAGAACTGCTGCTTTTACTAAGGCAAACATCCTCTCTGGCTTTAGAATGACTGGATGTTATCCTATCAGCCGTAGGAAGTGCTTAACGCATCCAGAAATCCAGGAAGAGAAGCAGCAGACCCCTTAGCCTGAGACCCATGAAAGCTCTGAACCAGAGGACCAATGGACCCCTACTACGAGCCAACAGATCATGAATTTCGGCAAAAATAAGTCTCTTAGCACCTGGCTGAAGTACAGGAAGATAGCCACTGCGTTCGAGGCTAGGGAAACCGACCTTGTTATCAAGGACAGGAAGATCAAGGCCCTAGAGGCTGAACTGGAGCGGCTATGGCCAAAGAAGCGCTAAAAGATCCCTAATCCTAACAAGAAATTCAGAACAGTCATAGAGGTACTAAGTACGGGTGGTAACATCACCCCTAGTGCCTCTGCGAATGTACCAGACGTTGTGGTTGATGATGACAAGGAAGAAGAAGAAGAAGACGAAGACTCGGCTGAAGAGGCCGCTTTAGAGGCCATACAAGAGCCTAGGCAGACCCGTTTGGGGCGATCCATTTGGGCGCCCACTAGATATTACGAATGAGCAGCTTCTACGCTCTCGAATGATAATTTTGCTGAATTTCTTTGACCTGAATGACTTCTTTAACATATGGGTGAATAAGGGGGTGTTTTGGTGGTGTTGGTAAGGTTTGGCTGTACGAGATGTGGGGGGAGGGGGGAGATGGTAATCCCATGCGGCACAACAATCATGCATCCTATCCTGCGTAATTGAGAGAACGATCGCGAGTAATAACACTGCTAGGCCAACAAGGTATGTGTCAGATTTGAGCCAATCGTGAGGTTGAAGTGTGTGTGTGTATTCTGTGTGTCTGGAGTGTCCTTGTGCGACCGTGGCAGTTTTGTGCCAGAGGGGGCTGGATCGGGACGGAACAACTAGGTTCCGGTGTCTACCTATCAAGGTGCCCTCTGTGCTCACCTTTAATCCAACAGTATGCACCTTATTTTCAAGAGCCACGTTACTTCTTAAAGGGGCTATGCCAAAGATTGTCAGCGGAACAATATCGGAAACTATTCACAATTAACGGCGGGGCCATATAAATGGGACACCCCCATATGTGGGACAGCTTTCACACCAAGAGGCTAGACTTCCACCCACTGATAACTTAATCGGGATTAAAGCTTTAAATAATCTATATAATATGTTTTAATAGTAGCACACAGGCTGGCAGGTTGCGTAGCGTAAAAATCGCATTATAATAGGCTCATCAGACTCTTTATTCATGCTATTACCCTTTTTGTTAATAATAACCCTATTATCTTTAAGGGGGTTTAAAAAAATTATTTTATTTTTTAACTTTAAAAAGGGGTTAAATATTAGTTTCTTTACTTGTTAGTGTTTAGGTTTTATAATTTACGTATGATTTGTCGTCGTTTTTCTTATTACTTAATAGCAGCCTTGTACGGCTTTGTTGAATGGGAGCCGGAAATAGACACCGGAAGATCTCTACTGGCGCAGAGACGCACAGGGCATCTGACCCGCCAAGAAGACAGTCGATCAATCTCTGTACGTTGAAGAAGAACAGCAGAATAAGAAAAAAAATAAAAATTTACGGGTCAACCTGAATAATCTGAACTCGCTTGCATCTGATAGTATTCAACAGCTTTTGTATACTCAATTTATTTTTAAATAACGTCCTTAACTTTTTTTTAGTTCGGCTTTTTTTAAGGTGCCTTATGGCGCTTTTTTATCTATAAATGCTTAATTTTATCGTTGTTGGAACAGGCTTGAACGATCAATCATAATACTCGAGTATGGGATCAAGGTCATGATGTTGCTGATGGTTGGATTGGGAAGTCTAGCTGGACCTGAAGGTCTGGCTAAGCGACCTCGCAATCCGGTATCTAATCACTTATCTAATCATACATGTGGGTCCTGGTATAGGTGGTTTGCAGGCTGGAATCGCATGGATCCAACAATCGTCTTTTATTTCTGGTAATTTTGTTGCAAGCGTTAATTTAATTAATATCTTATTTTAAAACTCGGTAACTAAGTAGACTGGTATTTGCTATTTAAAAGTTTTAATAACTTATAATATTATTAAAGCTATATTTTGCCTTAATTTAAAGGCTTTTAGTACTTTCGAAGTGCTTTAAGGGTTTATTATAGCTATTATTGCTCCATAAATCTCTATTATTTTTTTATATGCTCGTTTGTAAGTATTTTTTGCCTATTTACCGGCTGAAGTTTAGCAATATGCTATTTTAAATATGCGATAACTGGTGTAACTTTATTGCAAGCTTTTATTAGATAAAAAAGAACTGAATTTTTTTAATAAAGGCCAAATTATTAAGCTGGCTAAGCTAGGCGATTAAGCGGTAGTAAGTAGTTTTAATAACTAAAAAACGGTTAAGCTCAACTATTAAAAGATATAAAATTGCTTTTATTAACAAAATAATTACTACCTAATTATATAAAATTATTCAAGTAGTACCTGTTATGACCGTTAAATACTAATAAGCGAAACTTATCAAGATCTTTAAAAGTAGTATTAAATAGATATAATTAAAGGCTTATTATCATTTAGTTATATATAATGACTGTTAGATCCATGTGATTCCACAGTCAAACCATCCATACAGAACCCACATGTATGATTAGATAAGAGATTAGATACCAGATTGTGAGGTCACTTAGCCAGACCTGCAGGTCCAGCTAGACTTCCCAATCCAACCATCAGCAACATCATGACCTTGATCCCATACTCGAGTATTATGATTGATCGTTCAAGCCTGTTCCCACAATAACTTTTAAAAAAACTTGCTTTTTTTAACTAATATAACTTAATTTCGTTCGAGGTTTAGCTGTTAATAAAGTACGTTATTATTTAGTTTATTCTTATAAGATGCTTTTTAATAAGCTGCTTCTTAAACCATTACGTTTAAATCGACTTCGCTTTAAAGATAATTAATAGCCGGAGTTTTTTTTTAATAACGGTAATTGATTTTATTATAATAGTTTACATGCAGTTATTGTTAAATTTAACGTTAGTTTTTTCAAGTTAAAATTGCTTATTATAAGGCTATTAAACTTATAATTTCTTAGTTAGCCGTTTAAAATCAACTTGAATTGAGTAATTTACGCATGAATAACCTTATATAATATCATGATGAGTCGGGGACAGTAACAACACCCACAATGGGGCTGCTTGTATAATGGATATAAGAAGGAGGAGGGAGAGCCATTGACAAAGCCACGCAGTGAATTTGAAGGGTGTGTCATATAGAGATAATACAATGTGTGTCTGAACTGATCGCTCAATTATATGTGTTATAAGAGAGGAGTGAGTGTATATGAAGACAAAAGAAAGTAACAAAAAATGAACGGTGGCCTTTATATGCCACAGACCTGGCTATACATGATATCAACCCTGCCCCGAAACAATACTTGTTAATACTCGTTCGGTTTTTAAGTTTAATAAAAACGAAATCTTTATAACGGTCATAAAAGTTATTAACACTTTTAAGTTGAACGGCATTAATACGGTTATAATTAAGGTTTTGTTTTATTTTAATCTTGATTTTCAAGTACATACAAATAAAGTTTTACCTGTATTTATTTTTAAAATGATCCGGTTTCCTTTCGGATTATAAAATCCTTTTAATAATATACCTTCAATTGTTGTAAGTTAACGCGTAGCCGGCTTTTTTTTAATGTAAGATTTATAAAATAACTTTTTTTTCTTGCTTAAAGCTGGTTTTTTACTTATTGTAAGCGCTTTTACGATTAGTTTGCGTTTAAGTTATCGCGGTATTTTAACCTTGTAAAAAAAGATTAATTTCGGTACTTTATAGCGTTAAGTAGCCTTATAATGGGATAAATTATTATTATTTATAGCAGCTATTATTATTATGGGGTTTTTTAAAATGTACAAAGGCGGCATTTTGACGTATTGAAACCTTTAATGCTTATGGAAAAAAAGTAAAACTTTTATCAAGTTAAAGAAAATAAGGAGCACGGGTCTCATTACCTTTTAAACAAGCCTAGAAGTGTTAACTTCTGACCCTACTGCAGCCCATTTCGTCGCGATAGATCTAATCAAACCTAGATCATAAAAAACACTAAAAAAAGAAGATTTAGACGCTATACTTACGGTATCTAGGGCTTTATTGGCTATGGAGATATATATAAGTAAACATAGTGATGTTAGCTGTGAAAACTGTCCCACATATGGGGGTGTCCCATTTATATGGCCCCGCCATTAATTGTCTCGAAGCAACTGCGATCAGTCTGTCGTTCATGGTGTGCAAGATTCCTTTGGGGGGGGGGGGGGGGGGGGGGGGTGGCTTTGTGGCTTTCACTTTGGGTAGTGCAAGGGTTCTCATCCCCAAGGCCGCGGCACGGCAGCTGTGCCAGAACGCTTCATCATAAATAGAACTTCAACGGCCACACAGTTGCCTTTGCAATCCTACGTTGCTAATGATAGAAGCGTAGGGTGTATTCCATTTGGCAGTAAGGTCTGAGCACTCGTGCCTAGGTAATGCCACATGCTTGAACTCGGGGTTTCCCATCCAGTTGTAGCGGACAGTTGTCAGTACGCGATGCTCGGACAGCCTGAGTGTGACCACCCAGGTGGACGAAGATGATTCAGGTTGAAGTATCAAGCATCTGGAATAAGCGAAGAGTGTAGATCAGCTGTTCTAGACACGATCGAGTTGGAATCCCAGCTCGCAGCTCGCAGCTCGCTCTGATCATCGGTTTTGCTCCGTGATGTGCTCCCTGCGCCCTCTGTGCTCGTATTCTGGCGGTAAAGACACGTAACCTCGATGTGATCATCAACTACTACTCTGCTCCTTCTCCCAAGCCAGGTACTGCGGAATGACGTCGGCCAAGGTATCCAGGATGCTGACCTCCCGCGGCTTCCACCCCAGCTTCGTCAGCCTACTGGCCTGGATACGCATGTTCACGCCCAACCACACTGCCATGTGGATCTGCCAGCTATCCGGGGCTGGCAGTTTCATGTCGGGGTCGAAGTCGAACGTGCCCGACAGACAGACGCGCGCGGCGTCCTTGCTACTCGTGCTCACGATCTCGGTGCTCTCGATGATGCCTGCTTTGCGCATGGGCGGTATGAGTCCCGCTATGAGGTCCCGGAAGGCGATTTGCTCCGCCACCGGGTAGTAATACGCCTCGCGGCCCCAGAGCGGGAAGCCGGCGGGCTCTGCAGGCGGCTGGTTGCTGTTGAGCGAGGCGAGGGCGTTGTCCACGAGGAGGAGGAACGCTCGCGCGAGGTCGAGAACGTGCACCCAGCCGGACTGGTTCTCGCCAGTGTTGATCTGATATGGACTTGGTGAGCAGGTCCACAGCTTTCAGGGGATAAACAGAGAGTTCCCTACCTTGAAGCCGGAGTTGAAGGCCCTTGCGGTGGTAACGATGGCCCCAGTACTCAACGGTACCGGGTGCTCGATCGAAGGGCTGATGCCACCAATCCCTCCGGGGGATATGTTGGCCACGTACACATCCTCACTTGCGTCTCTCAAGATGTTGTCGACTTTGACATGTGTCAGAGTTGGACTGAAGTTCATGATCTCCTTGATATCGTCCATGTCGTCCCAAGTACGCGCCTCGGGAGACCCCGTAGGCTCATCGTACAGGTTACTCGCCCCCGTAGTCTGGACGAAGAAGCCTTTCTGCTTCCGCCCCGGCTCGCACATGCTGTCGACCGCTGCCTTGATACTCGACTCGTGGGTTATGTCCGGCGCGCAATTGAGCACAATGTCGGCCCGACGGCACTCGGCCTTGACGACATCCCAAGTGGAAAGGTCCCCCAGCACCGTCTGGACCCGGGGATATTTGGTGCGTAGCCGCGTTGCTTTGGGCTCGCTGCGGACGAGAACTTTGACGGGGACATCGGAGTGCTTCGTCTGCAGCTGGTCGAGGACTGCTCCTCCGACGTGGCCTGTACCGCCAATACTGAGCAAGTTAGCTCGGCCGCTTACTTAGGTCTGGGCAGAAGTGCCGCCATTAGGGGCGAGTGGGTCGGTTGCTCACAGGAAAACGGAGGGCATCTTGGCAAGACTAGAGGTACACAGCGCGCTCTTCGTAGCCAGGAAATACTCGAGTAATGGCCCTACACGCTGAACACGGTGAAGCAGCAGAATGCAATAGAAGTCTTTCTACAGTCTCAAACTGCCGGCCCTGGGCGGAAACTGATGATATCTCAATCCGAGCAGCCCCTCACCCTCCACTTGCCCGCTCTTTCGCAGCCCAATCTCCACATGTCCCTGGTCTGAGGTCTCTGGGCTGTCTGGCCCCTTGCAGTATCTCCTGTCTCTATTTCTCTACCCCTGCTTGACTGTGTTGTCGGTCAGGGTTTTCTCCCGCATGCGGTCGCCATGGAGCTATTTCGGAGTCTTGTTGCGACCCGTCACCGACCACGAAAGGGTCAACGTCTGGATATCAATTACAAACGGCAGCAAGAAGCCCATCGGACAGACTGGTGTATACATCTTCGAAGTCACTCACTCCGGCTAACAATCCCAATCATGGTCACATACTGGACTATTATATCTCGCCCCTCGCCTTCGCAGCAATACTCGCCGGGTGGTTGACCCTGGCGCGAAGCAGGCGCTCGCGCTGCCAATCGCCCGCCTTGACGTCCTCGTACTTGGGCGTCTCGCCCTCCGCCACGCACGTCGGCACAGTCCTGATCATGACGTTCTGACTCGGCGCGAAGAAATACGCCAGGCTGTAGCGCTCGCGCCCGCTGATGTTGCGCACCCGATGCACCGTGCTCACGAACCTGTCGTTGGTCGCGCGCTCGAGGAAGTCGCCCACGTTGACCACCAGACTCCCCGGCACGGGCGGCGCCGCCACCCAGTGGCCGTTCGCGTTGAGCACCTCGAGCGCCGGCGTGTCCGAGAGCTGGTTCACGAGCGTGAACCAGCTGTAGTCGGCGTGCGCGCCGATCCCGATCGTGTCCTCCGCCGTCGCCGCTTGCGGCGGGTAGTGCAGCGCCCGCAGCCCGGCCATGGGGAACGAGAGCATGTGGTCGAAGTATTCCTCTGGCAGGTCCAGGCCGAGCGCGACAAGCCGCAACAACACCGCTGAGCACGCCTGCACGGCGGCACGGTACTCGTAGATGGTGTGACGGAAGTCCGGCGGCTGCGCGGGCCACTGGTTCAGCGGACCGGGAGGATACGTGGACATGTCGAGGTCGGACGGCGCTTGCTGTTCCGGCTCGTAGGGGTCGTCGGCCATGTTGAAGGCCTCCTTCAGATCTCCGCGCGTGCGGTCATCGAGACGTGTCTCCAGGAGTGCTTCGTACCCCTTGATCGCGGGTGACTCGTTGATATGGATTTTCATCTTCTCCTCTTGGGCTGGTCGAAGAATTGCTTGATTGCATCCGTAGTCCGGTCCTGGAGATCGCTGCTGATGCCATGGTTGGTGGCATACATGAACCCGACCTCGGTAAAGGCCCTCTTGACCTCGCGTGCGACTGCTTGGCGATCAGCCAGCGAATCCGAGAAGGCCAACTTGAAGTCCACGGTCGGGATGCGATCAAATGTCGGCTTGAGATCAGCACCGCTGAGGACGGCCCGCGTCTGCTTTCCTTTCCCGGCGTGGAAGACAACCTCCTGGGGTTCGTCTGCCATCAGAGCACCTGGAGCCATGCTGAAGAGTCTTCACTTGAGAAGGTGGTCGTTTGGCAAGGTTTCTAGATGACTTCCCAGGTCGAGATCGCACCCATCTGGTCTAAATCGCATAGTATATGGTGCCTATCTCCAACGGTATCATCCGACGACTCGGTTGAGATCGGGGAAGACCCACTCACAGATAACTCACAGATGGCCATCGGCGCACCTGAATGCTACATCTCTATCTAGTCTGGTATCTACTATCTACCTACATCAGTAGTCAATCTTGAACCCTGCTGCCCCCGACCGGGACGATAACGCGGTGAGCCCTCATGATATAGCTTATCAACTCGTCGGCACAGGCCCGATCCATATACCCACGAATGTACTATCAACGGCACCCAGCAGAGATGCCACAGAAGCTAGCATAGCTTCTCTGTCCTCACCAGAATCTTTCCCACCGCGAGAACGAGACAAGATGTCTATGCTAGGCCAGAAGGTCAAAGCCATCAAGGCGGCCTTCAGCAGCAAGCAGGCTTTCCTCGCCGCCATTGAGACCAAGGAGTCTGCTCAAGGACGACTCGCAAACCGCAATCCGTGGACAAATGAAGATCTCGGCATCAGCCCGAAGAAGGACTGGACTTGGGGTTGGTGGGACTATGCTGCCTTTTGGTGGTCCTATGGTACGTGGGCTTTCAGAGTCTCAGTCTCCCGCCGATGGACTTGGAGTCTGTCTGTCCGTTAAACGGGCTCTTTCTAATCTGGTCTTCTCGCCTCAGGCTTCTCGACCGGAGTATGGACGGCGGGCTCCTCCCTCGTATCCCTCGGCATGACATCGTGGCAGGCCATCATCTGCATATTCGTCTCCCATCTCCTGGGCGCCATAGGAATGGCGATGCACTCCCGCTCGTCGGCCACCTACCACTTCGGGTTTCCAATCGCCAGCCGGATCCCCTGGGGCCTGCGGGGAGGCTACTTCCCCGTCTTCGTGCGGGTTCTCGTGGGCACGATCTGGGTCGGCGTCCAGCTGGTCCAGGGAGGCTACTTTGTTGCCGTGCTCTTCAGCGCTGTGTTTGGCGAGGGGTTCGCCAACATGAAGAACACATCCCGGATAGTCAGTATACTACTGTGCAGCAACTCATCGGTCTAATCGTGTTTTGGTGAGTGATTCGGGATGCATTCTACGGTTAATGCTGCGTGTCGACGAACTGGGATTCACAGTTGCTTCTAGGATAACCACCCTCCCTCTCTTGAGCGTGCCTATTCCGAAGGTTCGATTGCTCTTCACTATCAAAAGTCTGTCGTCCTGCCTCCGATTGTCATCGGGCTGTTCGGTAAGTGAACCCAGAAACCCCATCAATCCCATTTTGGAAGACCGGACAAAAGCATCGTGTCTCCATCAAATTGTCTCAGGCCCCTTTCGGGCCGTTTCGTTCAAAGTCAGACCACTGACTATGTAGTCTTCTGCATGCTACAAGCTCGCGACTCCGGCGAAGCGGCCGGCACATTCTCGCAGACAGGAACGCTCAAGGGCTCCGCACTCGCGTGGGCCATGCTGGGCGGCATCAACTCGGTAATGGGCAAGACGAGCACCAGCATCGTGAACCAGCCGGACCTAGCGCGGTACGCCCGCACGCAGACGGCGCCGACATGGTCGCAGCTCATCGCGCTGCCCATCGGCAACACGCTGTGCGCAACGCTCGGCATCTTCGGCACGAGCGCGATCCGCGCCGGCTGGGGCGAGGCGATCTGGAACCCCTGGGACCTGTGCAGCGCAATCCTCGACCGCTACGGCAGCGGCCACGCGGGCGCGCGCGCCGGCGTCGCCGTCGTGGCCCTGGGCTTCGTCTTCTCCATCCTCGGCAGCAACCTCGGCGCCAACGTGATCCCCTGGGGCGCCGATACCGCGGTGCTGTTCCCGCGCTACATCAACATCCGCCGCGGCATGTACATCTCGTACGTGCTGGGCGTCGCCGTCTGTCCCTGGCGTATCCTCAAGAGCGCCTCCAGCTTCCTGCAGTTCCTGGGCGGCTACAGCATCTTCCTGGGCCCCTTCGTCGGCATCTTCCTCACGGACTACCTGGTGTGTCGCAGGGGCAATATGTACGTGGCCGACTTGTACACGCCGGGCGGCCGGTATTGGTACCGGCACGGGGCCCACTGGCGCGCGGCGGTGGCCTACGTCGTCGCCGTGGTCCTTCCCATCCCCGGGTTCGCGCAGACGTTCGGCGAGCCTGTGCCACTAGCCTGGTTGCGGATCTACCAGGTCGGTTGGCTGCTTACGTGTACGCTTAGTAGTGTCGTCTACTGGCTTCTGTGCTTTGTTGGGGACGTCGCTGTGGACGAGAAGCAGATGGCGTTCGAAGCGATCGCGTGGGAGCAGTTGGAGCCGTATATTGAGCCGGAAACGGAGCGAATACAGGGCCGGGAGCCACCCGTAGTCGAAGCTGTGGGCGTGATCAACGAGCCGAAAGCGTAGCACATCAAAATAGCTGTCAGCATAGACCCAACTTTGACGTCCGGCGGGAGAGGGTCAGGAGAAGACCATTGGAATAAAACAACCAACGCAATGTCCGGACTCTTGTGCATTTTCCTCGTGCGAAGTCAACATCGTGTCAGGGGCTCCCAGGCTGTCGAAGTGTCGACGATGTTTGTTTATGTGCTTGTCTTCCCAGATTGACGATCTTCGCAGCCGCCGGCCTCCGTTGCATTTATGGACGTTCATTCATGGGTCAGAGCTACTACTGTAATGGCAGTCGGCAAGTGGAGGAGTAGCAAGGTGCATGACTGAGATTAACCAGCATCCTCGTAACCTCGTGGCAAGCGGTGGACCGAACAGCAGGTACGGTTCTCATACTCTTCACACCAATCATGAGATGCAAATTCATGCGTAGGACTTGAGCTGGACGCCATTGTAGCCTGTGCTGTAGATGTTGCGTGGCAGTGGCAGTGGCAGCGGGTCATGTCGAACGGGGAAAGTGATCGAGTAGACGTGCGAAAAGTACGCCGAGAGCTCACGCATGGTGCTTAAGCGATATCTGTGCGGAGTCTGCGCATCATAGAACCGCAAGCACTGAAGTTCCTGCGTCGAGATCGGCATGGTTGAATACTGAGGCGAACCAGAACACAATGGCGGGATTCGAAAATGGTAACTAGCTATTAAAGGGGCAGACCCAGGACACCCAAAACGCCACTGATCATATTCGTGTCACCAGATCAATAAGACCACCTGCACCTGCGAGGATTCCAATAGGATGTCTTGAACAAGAACGGGACGATGAGACATAGCCTTATTGCATCCGGCCTGGTCGCTGTCGCAAGAGCTCATTCTGCTTATGACTTTGTAAACCATCATCGATTCGCAGGGCGTAGGACATGGCCAGCTGACACAAGCACAGATAATCGTTGGTGGCGGCACCGCCGGCGTGGTAGTCTCAACACGCCTCAGCCAGACCCTCCCAGACTGCTCGGTGCTGGTGATTGAAGCTGGACCCGACGAGCGCGATCTCGCTGCTATCTCCATCCCAGGCCTTGAAGGCGTGTTAGGGACCAAATATGACTGGAACTTCACTACCACTCCTCAGCCTGGTGCAAACAACCTGACCATCACCATGAACCAAGGCAAGCTGCTTGGTGGCAGCTCCGCGCTTAACCTGCTTTCCTATGATCGGGCCACGGTAGCTGACTACGATGCTTGGAAAGTTCTGGGGAGCGAAGGATGGAACTGGACGACCATGCATCCTGCGATGGAGGCGCAGGAAACCCTTTCAGAATACAGCGGTCAATGGCTCGGCAGGTCTTGTGGGAATGGGCGTTGGCGAAGCTGGGCCAATTCACTTCCTCGTCAATCACTTCTCGCCGGCTCAGCAGGAAGCTTTCTTTCCCACCATGCAGAATCTCGGGTGGGAGCAGACGTATTCGTTTCTGGATGGCGACATGCTGGGTTGGATGCGGCATACCAGCAACATCCTGGACGTCAACTATACGAGGTCTTATAGCCCAGCATTCCTCAGTATTGCTCCTTCCAACCTGGAGATCATGGTCAATACGACCGTCGCAAACTGAACCTTGACAGCAATGCTTCTTCTGTAACGGGAGTGACCCTTCTGGATGGCAGTCATCACTGCCAACAAAGAGGTCATACTGTCTGCTGGTTCTGTCCAGTCGCCGCAGCTGCTTGAGCTCTCCGGGATCGGCAATGCCTCCATCCTGGCCGCAGCGGGTGTCGAACAGATGGTATATCTACCAAGCGTAGGTGAAAACCTGCAAGACCATGTCCGCATTACAACCGCATATCAGCTTCATCCCAACTACACCTCGCCTAATATCCTCCGCTTCAACACCACGTACGCCGCACAGCAATTGCAAGCCTGGACACTAGGCGAGACAAGCTGGTATGACGAGATCAGCGTCGGGTACGCATACCTGACCTGGGACCAAGCGCAGGGTAACACGGCCAACTTCATAACAGCACGCGAGTGCCGCAGTTCGAAGTCTTGTTCGACGACGGCTATCTGGGCATGAAGCGCTACCCGGCCGTCGGCTCATCGCTATACGGCAAGCTGTTCTTCTCGTTCATTGCTAGTATCCAGCACGCAGCACCCACATCAACAGCTGAGATTCTGCCAAAGGAGGACGGCGGTGTGGTGGACCCGGAGCTCAAGGTATACGGCCTGTCGAATCTCCGCATCGTGGACGCCAGTGTTATTTCACTCAATCCGTCCGGTCATATCCAGACTCCGGTGTGTGGCATTGCTGAACGGGCGGCTCAGATGATCACTGCTCAGTGGTCATGAAGCTCGGCAACTGCAACATGAATTTGCCAATCGTTAGCCTAGGGTAGTGTCAAATGCATCCTGTATCAAAGTGTCGGCTCTGACCGAGTGCTTATCGCCAAGTATTGAATCAGATATACCGTACAGGAAGGCGTACCTGTATCCATCTGACAGACAAAGGACCACATCCCGAGCAATGGGAAGCAAAAGACTGCTACTGATCAGAAGAGCATCAAACCCAAGACTTTGATAAGATCCGGGAAACATCAAGAACGACCTCCACCTCCCGGTTTTGCCTCCGCATATCAACTAACTAGACAAGAGAGATAGGGAGACTGGAGGCAAAGACGTGTTCAAGAACTTCTAGGAACAGGGCAACGCACGTGGAGCATAGTTGTCAGAGGCTTGATGTCTCGGGGCCTTCGTTCCTAGAGCTATACCGCAGGATGAGGCCGGCAATGTCAGTCTTAGCTTCTACTGACCCCCGTGGGGATATGGGACCTTGCCCACGCCTCTGAGTGGTCGGTGGCCCTGGTAACTTATGGTCCTGGCGCGGATGGGCTTCCGGATGCCGCTGACACCTGCACATGTCGCCTGGTGACGAATTGCTGCAGGCAGGCAGGTGGCAGGCAGGCAGGACAGGCATCTTCACATGGAATAGCTGAGTCGGACTGTTTTGTAGGCAAGACAGGGCTACTGTTGGATATGCCATGAAGCGATGCGGTCGTCGGATCACGGGCACCGATATTGGCAGCTTTGTCGGTACGAGAGTCCCGAATCAATAGAGCCGGCGGGAGAGCGCCGAGAGGCAGTGCAGGATGGTACGGTTTCGAGATTGCGGTGTTGTGTGTTTTATACACTGGATTGGTTGGATACGATGCCGCCGTGACGGCCTGGTACTTGCGCCTTCATTTGTCTTTGGACAGAGATAGAGCGAGATGCCGCCCGCTGTCTCTCCTGGAGTCGTCACGCTACCAAATGCAGCCGTGGCCTTCACTGGACCGCGATCATGTGGCGTTTTGCTCGAGAATGAAACCTGGGGATGGATGCTTGCAATTGGGTACATGCAAACTGGCAAGACTGTGGCTCCTCAACCCATTTTCCAGCCACAATGACGGATGGGTCACGGACCAGGATACAAGGTACCTTGGAGCCCAACGGGTACCCGTTTGTACCTGATTTGTACCCAACTGGGATGATAGCTACTTCTGGGATGGGGACACCACCCATCCCTTCTTTCAATCAAGCAACTTCCAGAATACAGACCAATAGCCACCTATCGTGACCCTGGTCCTTATTCTGGATACCGCTACCACAAGGCACAAGACTGGGTGGTTTCGTGGTGCACTGACTGCATATCCCAACGTGCCACCCACGCCGGTCAAGAAACTGCAAGGTCTGCATTGGGGTTTTAACCGCAGCCCGCAGGCGGGATGAGACTGTGCGTTGCAAACCATCGTGTCCTAGGTCTCTCGTTCGCTGCCTTGATCACCGGCTGAACACGTTATTATTCTGACAGCTGGACCATCCTAGTGTCCATGTATGACTATGCAGGTAGTTTCGAGTTGCTCGCACGGGCGCGATGAAACCTAGCCACAGTCAATACAATGATCGGATGTCATACATTACTCGTGGCATCCGCGTCCCCTACCGTAGGATTACACTTCCTGGCATCCTGGTAGGGAGTTCAGTCGCGTTGAAAGCTGCCTAGGGGAGTACTCCGGCATGTACAGCGCCCACACGCATTTGAACCTCATTTCGATGCATTGGCGACCTCTCCCCCGCAACGCTTGGAGCTCGGGGGACACCGAGTGATCTGATTGAGGCCTTTCCCGTTACGGCACCTTTCTAGAACGATGCGGATTCGTCATGTAATAAAGACAAAGGTCGTCTCATATCTGCACTAGTTATTATTAGTAGTATTACAGCTCTCTGCCCGGATGCATCAGGCCGAACGGCACGACTTCCAAAACAGGCAGAAGCTAGATTTCCTGGCGTGGACCCTTTCCAGAGATATCCTAGAATAGGATGAAGGACTGCAACCTGTTGGGTCTAGTGTTATTAGTATGCTTTGGTCGCCGTTTGGTCAGTGACGCAAGGCGCACAGTCCCAACGAGCTCTAACAATGCCACCGCCACACCAACCTGACAAGACACACTCGAATGATAGCTTGCTGGCCTAAGGTCGGTGTCTTGACACTGAGATCTTCTGCGGACCTGGGAAATTCTAGTCTTGTGAACTAATCATTAGCTGAAGGGCCCAGAGATGTTGCCAATGAACCCATATCCAGCTGACAATGAACCAGGGCAGGGAGTATGTACAATTTCAACACCAACTAATAATAACCCTTGTTAGTATGTCTACCGAACCACTACCTCCTCTCGACTTGACGTTCGACCAGTAATGAATGGATGGCGATCTCCATTTGGTTGCCAGAAGCTACGGAAACAGTGGGATTGTTGTATGCAATGCTAGGCGGAACATATGACCCAGAAAGTTCCAATGTCGGCGTGTGTCCCATGATGCGGAGGGCGTCATGCTCAGATTTTGTATATCTGTTACTGTAGTTCGTTGCTACGACCGTCGATGATGTACCACAGAGATGGACTGGTAGGTAGTGCGTTGTACATCAGATGATGGTGATCTGTGCTGATATCAGGAGGCCATCGCACTCGAAGCAGCCGAATACTTGTATGTGATCTAGATTAGCGTGATACCTCGCTCGGATCACGTATGTGCGGGTATGGCTTGTGCCTCGGGCCACTGGTGAGCTTGGATGGGGAAGAGGCACACCGCTGCAGCTATGACGAAGCCATAATCAGCAGAGGTCAATCAAAAGATGGCGTTGAGTGCACGACTCATGTATTGACCATACCACAGGGCTGCACGGCTGCACGGCCTTCATGCAAGAGAAAGACCTACAACATAGCGCCCGCGATGGAGAGCTCATATCGACGACAATGCTTTCCGTGCTACTCGACGGTTTGAGAGTCACGAGCCATGCCGGAAGAAGCAAAGGCCACAGACCAAAGCAAGGTGTGGGTATTGGAATCATTCGAATGCTTCGAGAAGGATTCGAATGCAGAGCCTTGCAGAAATGAGTTGATGCCACCATCGTCATGCCATGTAGAATGGGGAGCACAGGCCGGCCCTAGCAGGGGACGGGAGATGCCCATCCACGGACCAGCCGATGGCCCAGCTTCTCGAGACGTCAAGCTGGGGTGTCCACTTGCCCACTTGCAAATGAGATGAATGTGAGATGAAGGCTGAAAAGCATGATCAGTGAATGATCACTCATGGTCCATCAATCATGGCCACGAGCAAGATTAGGCACGGAGACAGGGAAATGCAGCATGCCCTAATTACGCTGTGACCGTTCGTTCGTCGCTTTGCAAGCACGGGCAACACCTGTGACCGCTGACCTGCGTGGGGCCCCTTGCGAGATGGTCCCGACGGCTTGTTTCGAGAGCTTCGACCCCTTTTAAAAGCTCCGAGACCTATGTCGCCAGCTTCTCGAAATGTTCTAGAGTATTACTGTTCGGGCTACAGCCAATCTCAGGCCTGTTTGGAAATTTCATGCGCCCGGGCTCTGGGATGGGATGCTTCCCCACAGCCAACCACACTGCAGGGCGACGCTACTGTACACAGTAACTGCACTGGTCGTCGACTTGGAGCTACCGCATTTTCCAGGCAACCTCTCTAGGTCGCACACGGTCCACCCGTTCGCTAAGCCAAGGATTTTACACCAAAATTCTTATCGTCTAATAAAGTGACGTGCATAAGACCTGCTTTCCGGGACTTTAGAACCAATAAGACAAGAAGAAGCGTCAGTGGCGTGCGCCTTACTGCAAGGTGGTTGGTCCGTGTGCGCCCTAGAGAGGTTGCCCGCGAACGGGTGTGCTCCGTGAATGACTGCGTCATCTCTGGTCCCTTGCTTTGCGCTCGTGGCTGTCTCTCGATGTCGACAGTATCACGGTAGGGCTTCGTTACCTTTATAATGTCAACCGGCATATGCGATGTCCCTGGAGTTTAGCAGGGAGAGATGAGTATTGATAAGAGGTGAGAGATCAGAGGTGAGAAGTGAGAAGTGAGATATGACAGCTGGAGATGTGCTTTCCTAGGTAGACTTGAGAAGGGCGTTTGGCGCTCTGTTTCAAATAGGGCCCAAGCGTCGGCCAGCCACCACCCCTTGTGCCTTGGTAACTCATGGTACTGTCTATAAGCATAACGCCAAAAATATGTATTCAAATAGCCGGTATGACTGAGATGTAACTATCTCGAGCACCGAAGTCCCTCTTCACAGGATTTGATGGGCAATCTCCCGAGTGTGCAAACTTTTCATTTTGGAGGGTTGTTTTCTCCTTGTTTGAGACACGTACCTCGCATGTTTTCCCATTGGTGGGATGCCATGCTCTGCTGCTGAATAAGAGGCAGCCTTGTCTACGGTACATACTGTCATTAAATGATTGTCCGCAAGTGAGCTAGCTACCAGCTGATAGCTCGAGATGCAGAGGCGAGCGGTTGCACCGAGCTTTGGGTCGAGTCCTCCTGATCAGTGCACGGCTTTCCCAACGGTACAAGCTTGTGCGCAATGATGCAGATGTCAGAGGTTCATGGTTCGGGTGCTGGTCCAGGAGCAGGAGCTGTGACCATCAGGGCAATCTTTTTTTAGTGGTGCTGGAGCTGGAGGCAGATCATAGCACGTGGACATGGGTATGGGCATGCCGATAGCTCTAACTTATTACAGTAGGAACGGTGGAATACATTCTACGGGGCTTCCATGCTGGGATTGGGACAACCACCTCATGCAACAGTTATCTTGCGCTCAGCCCGCCCACTATCAGATCAAGCCTATTCTTATTAACCAGAGGTATGCTGAACTTGCAGAAATTCGTATCAGCAGGTGTTGCCCGGGATGGTCTCTGTTGAAGTATCATTATTAGTCTGGCACCGGCTCTGCTTCTGATGTCTAGAGATGCTCCAAACTGGCTAGACACAGCACAGACGCGTAGTATTCCCGATCGTACGGTAGCGGTACTCAAATCAGGCACTACATGGGACCAAAACATGAGATCAAAGACCCTTGGTTAATAATAAAAGTGGTTTCACCAGGGCTGAACAGCTGGCTAGTATCTCATCAAGCTGGCCTGGCAGCTGCCTGGCTGGCTGACCGACACTGGATCCCTTTTAAGAAGCAGGAGTCGAGCAGAGGCCCTCATTAGTCGATTCCTGAGAGACCATCACAGGTTGCATGCATGTGCCATCAAGGTACCTGATAGTAGAGGCGTGCCTCTGTTGTATGCCTTCCATGTTAGGAGCTGTATGATGCCCGAGCGTCAGCCTAATAAGCCAGATGATTCCTTAGGTACCTTAGTTGGCGCTAGAAGAACAGTGCCAGAATCAGGCCGCACCGACGATGATGAATTGGGTGGGTGACTACAATCGCCGAACAATAGACATTGCCCATTGATGATGAATGGGACAGGTGACCGCACTGGCTGAACAATAGATGGCCATTCACTTCGACGTTCCCCATTGTGGCCGCCATACCCGTCTCTTCGTTTTTATATAAATATGCACGGTTGAGAATAAATCCTTTGATTCTTCTTTCACTTAGAGTACGCTCGGACTTGACCACTGTGCAGCTGCACCTTGGTCCGAGCCCCGAGGATCTTCTAAGGTTAGTAAGTGTTGACGCCTCCCGCCCTCACCTGACACCCTGAGCACCGCCACAGCAGTCCGTGCCACTTGTCACTCGTGCTGGGGCCACCGCACGGGCCAAAATACATCCATAAATTCACGCCCTAACTTACCTTAGCCCGTGGACCCGCATACCTCCCTCGCGCCAGCATCACCTTCCACCCTTCCACCCTCCTACCCTTCCACTTGCACACCTGCACCAGCTCCGATTCGCAACCCTTCCTGGGCACCGGGGGCAGGGTTCTTTCATCATATCTTTATTTTCTTATTCTACCTACTCTGCCATTTCTCGCAACCCATCCGCGACCCGCGTCTCCCTCTGCTGACCAACGTGCAGTTGCGATATAACTGCTGCACCGACACTTACTTGACCATCACATTCTGCGTCATACTCGTTCTTATCCATTCCTGAGTCCATACCATACTGTAAGTTGGGATCACAAGCTGCACCGCACCCCCCCTTACCTCTCGCTCGTCACAGTCCTCGGCCTGGATAGCGTGGACTTGGACGGTTGATTCTACCTCTACCGTATCCACCTTTGCTGAAGCTCAAACCTCTGGCGTGCTGGTTTGTCGCCGCCACGCGCCGCCCGGCCATCACTTTCATATTCGAGCAGTGCTTTGGTCGCCGCCGGCGCACCAGATTTACCTCTTGTTGATTGGCGATGATTATCTAATCATCACCGAGTGATATTTTGCACAAATTCATCCCACATCTTTCATGCTTTGCTGCTCATACCACCGCCACAACACATCCAGAGCAGACATCCCGTGTATAGGGTACAACAAACATACAACAACCTGCGGAAGGCTAACTCGACGTTCATGCATGTAGGGACGAAATATTTTCGAGCTTCGACACCAGCAAGCCCAACACATGCCAACGAAATACAAACGACCATTGGTCACCCTCGTTATACCCGACAACACACTCTCTCATCTGCCGCACAGTAATGAGTCACACTGGTTATCATTTCAGAAAGCCCTCGACCTCAGCCTGAGCCCTACAATATATACAGCAGTGGAGGAGGACTCGGTACTATCTCGAGGTCCCGTACCAACAAACCTCGGCAGCCCACGTGCCTGATTCCACAGAAAGCTATTGGTTCTCCGGCCACCAACTCAACCAGCTATTTACCTACAAGGACAGCGTTGGCGATTTCTCCTTCTGTGGTCAATCCCCAAAACGAAAACTTGTTGCTGCGGCAGCCTCAGGCTTGCAACTGGTTACAGTGGATCTCGATTTTCTCAGTCACTGCAAGTTTTCGCGCATTTCTAAGCTCAACCGCGCTGCGAAGCAAGACTCACTGGACAAGAAATCTAACATGTCTAGAAGTCACTGAGCAGAACCGAAATCCCACCTACGCCCAATTAGCCTACCGCAGCCTTCGCCCGACCGACACGACGAACTAGCAAGAGAAGCAACTTTCGAGCCGAAACAAAAGTTTCTTCTCTAGCTGCCGCGACATGTCCAGATCGCCCGCATCCGAGGTGATGAACATCACGACGATCATGGATCAGCAAAAGAACGCAGCAGCAGCAGCAGCCGCTGCCGCTGCGGCACAAGCCGCTGTAGGTGGAGTCCACAGTCTGTTGCCTGAACATCAGCAGCTTCAGCAGCAGCACCAGCAACAATCACAACAACAACCGCACCAACTCCAACTTCTCCCTCATCCGCAAATGCCTGCAGCCATGATGGAGCGAGCCAACTCTCCTCATGGGTCAGAGAGCTCATACCACTCCGGCCCCCGTGGCGGCAACCAATTGGAAGCCCTGAGTGCCTTGGGCAACGGACGATATGGCTCGCCCTCTACAATGCACACGCAACTTCATCTGTCCGACACCAACATCCCACCGGGCATGATGATCCCCGGCATCCCTCCCGTAGGCCATGGTGTGCCTATGCAGCAGCCTCCCGAGAAGCCCCAGCCGGCAGCGAAGAACTTCCCGTGCAGCACGTGCGACAAGCGCTTTGCGAGACGTAGTGACCTTGCGAGACACGGTCAGTTAATCTACGATGCGCACCTTGGCATGATGCTAACAATTAATACAGAACGGATTCATAGCGGCCACCGGCCCCATGTCTGCGATCACGAAGGCTGCGGAAAGCAATTCATCCAGCGATCAGCCCTGACCGTCCATCAGCGAGTCCACACGGGTGAAAAGCCTCACATGTGTGAGCGCTGTGGCAAGGTATGGCTGCGCTGCTCCCCTTGTGAGATCTGACTAACAATCTTCTGCAGCCCTTTAGCGATAGTTCCTCACTGGCGAGACATCGACGCATCCACTCCGGCAAACGACCCTACAAGTGCCCTTACGCTGACTGTCAGAAGACCTTCACTCGAAGAACTACTTTGACCCGGCACCAAAACCAGCACACCGGAACTGTAGAGGAAGCAGCTGCTGCAACTGCCGCGGTTCTTGCGACGCAGGCTAGCAAAGCAGCGCCGCGCTCGGTACGCAGTGACGGAGAGCCTACAAGCGGTTCGAACCGCGGGTCTCCCCTGAACACGCCGTCCCCAGGCCAAAAGCACATGTCCATGTCGCCCAGTGCGGATCTCGCTGCCGCCAACGCGATGCGCAACAACGACTGGCAGTACATGAACACCGCCATGAACAGCTTGAGCAACGCGAACAGCATGACCAACCTCAACAACGGATCGCTCCCCGTCCACCTCCGCAACGATGTTCGCGCCCAGAGCCCCATATCTGCGCCGACATACACGACTGGCATGCCCGGACGGCCCACGTCTCACCCGAAGAGCTTCTCCCCTGCGCCGCCGCCGACTCTCGAGCCGAGCATCGAGTCACACCAGTCCGCTGGGGGCAGTACTGGGGGTAGCCCGCACATGGGTAGCGTGGGTTGGCACTCGCCGGCGCACATGCCTTCGCCGTCTCATAGCACTAGCGGTAACGGCTATGTCTACCCCGACCCGGATCAGTCGTACGCTGGCAACGGGATGGGCCAGATGTACTACGGTGCTGCTGCCCAGATCAGACGGACTACAAGCACGGAGCCCGCCACTTCCACCTCATACGATATCAAGCCACGATCCGAACTGTGGGCGGGAAGCCAGTAGTATGGCGACTCGAGCTATTAGGATGGCGACACGGAAGAATGGAAAAGGTGGTGAGGAGGATCCCAATTCTCTCTCCCCCATCGATAGATCTCCTTTGTCACTCGCATCATTTGCTTTGTTACGGACGGCTCAATACCCCAAGGCACGGTCAGCGCTTGCTATACGTTCGAGGTCGGATTCTGGCACATGGCGTTATCATAGCGACAATGCTTCGGTCCCTGCCTTTTTCTTTCGGTCCTCGGCATTCTCCTTCCGTCCTCGACTTTTTCATACACATACCGACTCTATTCAGTCGTCGACACGGCTCAGTCTATCTCTGACGCTATGCGGCTCTGTCCGTCGCCGACGACACTCAGTCCATCGCCGACGACGCTCAGTCTGTTGTGGACGGTGCTCAGTCTGTCCTGGACGGTGCTTTGTCTGTCGTTGACAGCCACACAGTTAGTTGCTGACTTTATTCAGTCAGTTGCTCAGTCTGTTCAGTCGGAAACTACTGGCACTATAATAACGCTCACGGTACCACACGACAACCACCAGCGGAATTTCCTAATTGATGGGCTGGGTTACTCGGATGGCCTCATTGATTGATTCATATGAGGTCAAGCAGCATCTCTGATCTTTTCTCTTTCCTTCGACTAGACTGGATTAGGGTATCTGACGGCCCATAGACAGCTCGGCATGGCACAGCTCGGAATGGATGCCATGAAGAGCAGAGCCTGCCAAGGAACGGCGTTGGGGATGGCGCTATTTATGCGCATTCGGACATTTTCTGCTATCCTGGTGGCAGCGCAGGAGAGAACAAAAAAACCCCGATGGAAGCGACACATTGAGATTTACTGCTTCCCCATTGTAGAGTAACTGATATAGGCGGCCAAGATGGTCAGCCTGGGTTGAGCAATCAACGGCATGGAGAAGAGATAATGAAAAATGTAACCAATTCCAGTAGGCTTCCTTAATGCAGTGACTGGGTGAGTGCCAAAACTACATAGCGGAGTGGCGTATAACTCTGCTTCCCTTTATCCCTCCTTCCCACGCTAGGTATATGTGCTTCCTAATGGTGCCCAATGTTGGCGACTGACCCCCCTTTACAGAGTAGAACTGGCGCTGGAGCCCGAAAAGCAATATGAGGGTTGTGAGGGGTGGTACGTGCGCCTCATGGTTCGTGCCTGAAGCGCCCCAAAAAGATGGCAGTTGCAGTTGCAGTTGGCCCGAGACACTCTTCCTCTTAATCACTGCACCTATATCCAATTCATTCACCTCTTTCGTCCTTCAGGCCGTATTTCCTCCATCTCCTTCTCCCCAGCTGCGATGGAAGCGCTCTCAGAAGGCCTAGAACCCAGCCCAGCCGGCACCACCGAGGCTGAGTTGCTGCGCTTGCGCTTGCGAGACATAGGGCAACTGGACTCGGCGCCATCTGTTGGGCACCCATCGTTCGAGCTGAAGGGCAAGTGGCCTGACGACGGGGGTCTTTCTGGATTTCTGGTGTCGCCATCTTTGTCGGAGTCAGGCCATCAGTCAGTCGATGCGAGCGAGGGCTGAATCGAGACAATCCTCTGTTTGTTCGACGATGCGCGCCGCGTCCGGCTTTCGCAACCTTGGATTGTTTTCGAGCAAATTCGCTCAGCTGAAGAAGGGATGGACTGCCAAAGATGTTAACTGCCGGGAAGTGGGCGTGGCGGCGGGATTGGGGTGCCGAAGCGGGACTATGCACACTGCAGCATCCATCCCGATCCATCCATCTCCGCCCAATTTATTGATTTGTGATCGTCGTTCTGCTTTTACTTCAGCTAGCCCTGGGATTTTAGACCACCCCTACCATCATTCGATGCCGCGCTGGGGCTGAGACGGCGTAACTGCTCCGCCGTCTGCCAACATGACTCGAGTCTCGCGACCCCTTCACCGAACATCCTGCTGTGCCCAAAGTCCTGCGCGGTGGGTAGTATGACGTTGGGCCGCGCTGCCCCCAAACCCGAGATATTGCTGTCTGTGCATCGGCGCCTTCATCTGGAATCGACTGCTCGGCAACATCTCTGCGCGGGAATGGAGAGGGATGCTTGGTTGACGCCTTGCTACCACGTGCCAGACGTGTGCTGCCAAGCCGGGGTATATAAAGCCATCGTGGGCCATTTCTGGTCGGTCTGCTTGCGATCCGATCTAGGAACACAGAAGATTCTACTTACATTTTGTTCACACTCCCCACTTCTCCGAAGATGCACCACTGTCAGTGTTGAAGGCTCCTTATAGGCTTTGCCCATCGGCCTTCCCGCCACCAACCGCTCTGAACTACTGGTACATACATGGATTGGGTCATTCTTGATATCACCGCCTCGAGGAATACTTATACACCATCAGAGGACGCCTAACTCTGGTCCTGGTCCTCACCCAGCGTTCAACAAGGCGGCATCCCTTCTTGACCATATGAACGCTATTCGAGGTCGTCGAATAGTGAGACACTGGAAAGAGAGGAGTCATGGCCAGCATCCGCGACTTGTTGTTGCCGATTGACGTGGATCCCATCAAGCCCAAACCTAGGGAGGGGAAGGTCCCTGCCGACGACGTCAACGCTCCTCCGCAGCCGTCTCTAACATCGCGCTTTACTATCGAAATCATCCTCGACACCATATGTCCATTCTGCTATATCGGCCTGAATAACCTCAACACCGCCATCGCCATTCACCAGACACAACATCCAGAAGCCGTCTTCGATGTGACCTGTTCGCCCCTCGTTCTTGCACCGAGTGCTTGTGAGTGCGGTGAGTGATTGTTCAGTCTACTTGGTGAATTGCTTTACAACGCTTCTTGACACTCTATAGGCTCCCTATATCCCTGAATACCCTTGAAGTATCTGTTCGATACGGCACTCGTGGCTTGTTGAGGACGGGTGGCCTGAAAATAACGCGTTGTTACCTCTTTCTCTCTCGCTCCCTGAATTATAGCCCATGGCGATGACTTAGTGTCGACCTTCTACCTCACACACCGCAAAGGGTTCCATCTTACGTCAAAACCGATGTGCTAATACTGATCCTGCTTTTAGCTTACGACAAGTTGTCTTATTATACGGAATACATGGGTTTACCATCCGACCGCTATGCCGTCTGGACCGAATACGGGACCGAGGCGGGCATCAATTTCAGTTGGAAGGGCCGCACAGGTAATTCGAGGGACTCGCATAAACTTTTACGCTTCGCCCTCGAAAGCACACCGACAGTCACCAGAAGCGTAACGGTCACCCAGCCACGGCAGACAACAACACTCACGGGGACCTCGACCGCAGCCTCTAACATGACGTTGCCACCTCCCAACCCGCCAGGGCAAGCTGTTAGTTACCAAACGTCGATGCGCCATGCGTCTGCCATTTCCGCAGGTTCCGTGGTCCCCAGCAGCCCAAAAACCCGGGGTCCAGCTCTGCAAATGCGTCTACTGGAAGCCATTTTCAAGGGCTACCACGAGCTCGACCGCGATCTATCCGAGCGCCAGTTCCTCGTGGAGACCGCAGTGGGCGTAACGGGGTTCGCCGCGCGGGACATCGAAGCCGTGCTCGATAGCGACGAGTGGGGCCGTGCCATCGACATGCTCTGCGCTGAGGTGCGTCGTCGCCTGCCCACCCCTATCATCGCCGTGCCGACCATCATCGTCAACGGCAAGTGGCTCTACGGCGGCCGACAACCCGTGGAGTACCTCGTCGCTGAGTTCGAGCGCATCAGGTTGGGCCAACCGCGCAACACCAAGGCGGCGACGAATACGGTGCCTGAATCTGGTGTGGGCAGGACTGGGGTCGACGGCAGTAGAGGTGTGACGATGAGCATGCCTGATGAAAGCATCTAGGCCGGGGCGATAGCCCAGTTGAGCGGCGAGATGTTATCAGGCCCTTGCTGGTATGCGTGGAGTACGCATGCGATATGAGAAGGTCTGTTACATACGCAAGCACGGCAGCATGCTCCAGGGACTGCGGACGATCGATCCAACGTATTCCGACAAAGGACGTACATTCAACGGTCAGGGTTTGATGATTACTGATCGCGACGCGCTTCGGGTTCCACGCACCTGTCAAAACCCCTGCTCGGCCCGGGGTTGCGCACCGGTGTAACGTCACCACGAACCACCATCACCAAACACGGACGATGGCACGAAAACGATCTCCCCACAAGAATTGAGATGGATAGAACGTACGCAGGACATGAGCCGGACGCCTCGGGGTTCTTCTTCATTTCGTCGCCTTGCGGGCAGCTGCAGATACTGTGTACGATTTATAATGAAGCATTTGGACTGGGTATCATCTGCGGTACTCATCTGGATGTATCTATGGAACCAGTCAGGCGACCCGCTGGCTTCGCCGGCCAGGGTAGTGGTAGAGGGCCTACGTTTGTTTCCCTTTTCCGCTCTTTCCTTCTCTCTTCTCTTCTCTTCTCTTTTACTTGCAATGTGGTCGCGGGGGGCCTCGTTTTCTATATACCCCTCGCTGCATCGTATTGCTGAGCCTGTATATTCATCGACCTCCCAGGTTGGCGTGGGAACAACATGGAATGGGCATTGGAGTTGAGTTGGGTGGCTACGAGAGCAGACGCGTACAGTCGCGGATCGCATGGCCAAAGGGATGGGGTGGGATGACCCCTAGGTACTTACGTTTCATATGGCATTCTGTCATAGGGGTTGCTGTGGGCGGGTACGGCTGGGCTGGGCTGGATTTGATATCTTGGAGGAGTATCCAATGTGCACATACCCTATGCGGAAGACGAGGGTTTCAAGGTAGTATTCGATGTATAATCCGTGAATGATATAATGCTTTCTGGGCATTTCTACTGCATGACTCTGTGTATGTATGTATTGAAGTCTATACAGACAGCGGACACCGCTGCCGGCCCGTTGCTATGTACTTTACCTACCTAAGATGCAGCATTGTCAAAGTGTAAGTAGGACGTACCATGGATATACACACACGAGGTCGAACCAGGCTCTCAACAGCACCTCTCGCGGAGGTAAGTCATGTAGGCACTATGCTAGACTATCCGTTACTACATATTCCGCCCCTATCTCTCCATCCAGCTGAACGAGCTGCCGATGTATGTACCACCGGCTCCCTCCTTCGCCTGTTCTGTTTCGGTTTGTTCTAGCGTTTCCCCAGGCCGCGCCGCCCTTCAACACGTCGACGAACCCGACCACGACAAGCAAGTTTCGAGTGCCGTGCCCACCGTCGTAGCTGATCGTTAAAACGAACAGACGTGGGATGGAGACAGAACAGAACAGAACAGAATAGGTAGGCGTCCCTCCCAACTCCAACCGACTCCAGCTGCGCGCAAGTGAAGGAGCATAAGAGAGAGAGAACCCAAGACGCCGTTCCGGATAGAGCCTGCCCTGCCCGTAAGCAATCTTAGCCACCATCGGCTAAACAATCCAAAATCGTAAAGTCTTAATGCTGTACAGGAAAAACCGTCAGCAAGAGTCTTTCTAGATGTGGACTCGCAGCGCAGCAGACTTTGGGAGATAGGTTGCCAATAAGGTAGTGTCAGGAAAATATAGAACAATGTGGTGAGTATATTTAATCATGCTCATAAAATAAAGCATGAGTAATAAACAGCCTCGTGAAAAAATCATCATAGAAAGGGCAGGCAGCAGAATGGGGTTTGTTTTGGAGTGACTTACTAATTGTTGACGCCCAGTGCAACTGAGCGAGGCGTGCCATTATTCCATCTTGTTGCTAGCAAGTGCCGAAGTGAGAAAGCAAGCAAGCGAGCAAGCAAGCACGCAAGGAAGCATAGGCTCAGCAGCGGTGGACGTTCTGGCAGGCTTCCGCATATGCGCCCCGTGAACTGAACCTAGGGCTGGAAGAGAACCGGCGTAAGGATCGGTGGTATGCTCCTAGTCGTGAAGATTTGGACAACGTCATACATAGCACGGATAGCCAAACCCGCGAATCTCCAGAGTCGTGGTCATACGAGTAGGTCATGCACCCCCGACTGGGATATAAGCAAACACACATGCAGGCACGTAGAGGCCACGGTCAGCATATAAAAAGGGGCGGGGGAAATCAAAACATCGCTTTATACCTATACCCCTGTATAGTAAATGCTGCAAGACTGCCACTCACCCCGTGGGGTGACGTGCGTCATCACGACCCAGCTGCCAGTCAGCCATAGCCAAGATGTTGCTGAGCTGAGCGTGAAAGCGAAACAGCCGTATAGGCAGACGACCGTAGCCAGCCTAGACCTTTTTCTGCCCTCAGTCCCTATGTCCGAACACCAGTAAATGCTTTCATGCAGTCTTTTTGCGGCCACTTCCCCCGAGAACGCCATTTCCCCATGCTGATCTGGCCCCAGCAGTGTTATATATCCACCCATCGAAAAAGGACCCCAGGCGGTCGGACTTCAGCGTTTCAGATGGCTGAAATCCTTGAGGAGATGCGCCATGTGCGAGTTAGACTGGTGCTTGGGCGGGCGCGTCGACTTGCGCTTCTTGGCCGCGGTCTTGGGGGCGTCCATTTTCTTAAGACGCGGGTCTTCGCTCGCGGGCTTCTGGCCGAGGGCCGCGAGCTTACGCACAATGTCGTCGGCGGTCGGGATCTCGATGTTGTGCCACATGACCTTGAACATGGGGTCGACACTGTGGCATAGGTAGGGGTCGTTGGCCCAGATGAGCTTGGCGTGGTTGTCCTTCTTAGTGCGGACCACGAGGATCTTGTTGGCGTCCTCCAGCTCGGTGATGGCGGCATCGCAGTCGGGCCAGCCGTCCTTCAAGTCCTTGACCGCCAGCGACGAGGCGTCCGTCTTGCCCTGAAGGTAGCCCAGCAGCGCCTCCTTGCTGTGCACGCCGGGGATCTTGGCCTTGAACTCGTACGTGCCGGTGCGCCAGGCGAGTGTCGGGTCCGCGGCCGTCTGTGCCCGCGACGCCGACACGTAGTTGATGCGCGGGTGGTTGCGCATGAGGTTCACGAAGATCTTCTGGGTCTGCTCGTCGATGTTGCTGAGCGTCAGGTGGTCCAGGATCTCGTGCAGCTGCTTGGGCTCGCGCTTCGTCTTGAGAAACTCGACGGTGAACGCCAGCTGGGTCATGATGTGGCCGCCTCTTTCGTTCACCTTGGCAGCTGCGGCGGCGGCGGCCGGTGTCATGATGGGCGAGGCGGCGCGGGCCATCGAGGCAATATTGTCGCGCTTCTGCTTTTTCGTAGGCGTGCCGTCGGACTTGGTGGGCGAGGTGTTGGCTGGTGGCGAAGCTGCGGAGGATGATGGCGGGACCAGCCGCTTGCCGTTGCCGTTCAGCTTGGTGAAAGAGACAGTAGACATGGTGAGTGCTCGGTCGGGTAGATTCGTCCGATCTCGAGGCGGCAGCGTTGTTTGGCGATGGTGGTCGATCTCGTCGGGGGAGACGGATGATGAAAGGAAGAGGATTCGCTTTGGACGGTCCCGACAAGGCTGAATGAAACATAATGCCAAGGGTGGGGCGGAAGGTGGGGCCGTATGTGTGGCGGGGCTAAAGTGGCTTGTGCTGGACGGTCCCGGTCCCACAGTGTACCGCACGGACACTCGCAGACGATTCAGGGTCCGAGTCGTGTGATACAAACCCCCGAGGCAACTTATCTGCAATTGTAACCGTTAGGTGTGTAGCAACAAGCATTTATATAAGCTCGATGAAGGGGATAGCAAGCTTTAACCCATCGTACCTAAATTCGTAGGTATCAATAGCCTCCCACTCTTATCCGCAGAATAGCGTAACGGTGATGGCCGAGGTTATAGGTGAAGGCAGCGGCAATGAAAGCATGAGAGCCAACGATAAGGATCGGTTCGTGTACATACGAGAGTAGGGACGCAGATACCCAATCCTAAGGTTGGCAAGGGAAGAGAGTACATGACCGTAAGTGTGTGAAACGTTTCTGGTACCAAACATGGTGATCTATTTAAAGTACTGATTAGCCGAATGAACTGGATGCGTTGAGTGTTCATTGGACTCGATACTAGCACAATGACTTGTCAAGTAGTCGTAAGTCGAGCTCTGTTATGAAGCTGCATCTACTGCACATGGCTCCTTGCAGTGACAATTGATTCACTGGGTTGAGTCGATAGATCCTGGTACTGACAGTTGTAAGCCATATTTGACCATCGCAGCAACTCCTCAGCGCGAGTCCCAAGCCATGTTCTACACCCAACGCACGAGGCCTGCTTCTCAGAAGCTACTAGTCCATCACTGATGCTGCAACAGCATAAAGAAGTCCTGAGATGGGTTGAACCAAATGGGGTCTGGTCTATTAGGAGTTCATAGAAGTTATGTGTCAGTAAAAAAAGATATCATGCCATATCGACCACATGGTCTCCCGAAGTCATCCAGTTCCACTCTTAGTCCTTGCCAATGTCCGCGCACCTCGCCCCTGGGGCACCATCCGGAAGAGGGACAGGGCCTCTAAGCCTGCTTGGCCTGCTGGCTCTGCATGTATTGGTAGGCACCGAAGGCAGCGAGACCTCCGACGAAGACGATGGCGTACATGGCTGTGCCCATGCCGGCCGAGCTCGTGTTGGCCGAAGGGGACATGGCGGAGGGGACGGCCTTGGGCGCAGGGTCGCCGGCCTGTCGTGAGGAGAAACCGTCAGTATACCGAGGTCGGAGATAGCGTGGGGGACGGGAGAAAGATAGATTCGGGGGTATTTGGAGCAGGTCTCACCTTTCGCTTCAGGGCGCCGACGAGCAGGGGCTCGAGGGTCTCCCGCGCCTCGTCGCTGTGTCCGACATCCTCGAAAGCCTCAGTCGCGTCCTGGCCGCCGACGTCTAGCAGGACCTCCTCTCCACCGCTGTTGCCGACGGGTTAGCATGTGGGCGTCCAGTGCAGCCAATCCCGACGGACGAAGCTCGGCGGAGGCGGGATGGGGAACCTCAAAGACCGGCTGAACGCGGCGGTAGGACTTACGGGTGCTCATCGACAAACTTGGTGCAGTCGTAGACCTTGTCGTGGATGACGACGAACAGGTCCTTCTTGGTGTTGTGCTCGGCAACGTCCTGGTAGGTGTATTCCTTGTCGGCCATTTTTGCGGTAGTCGAGTGGTCGGGTCTAAGGTGGATCAGACAGGAAATCTATAGGGGACCGATTCGCAAAAGATGTGGAATGATGACTGGCGCGACGGGCGATAACAAAGCAGGCGAGCGAGGACCGGATGGCGGAGTGAACCGTAGAAGGGCAGAAGGGATGCTGGCAGTGGTGAAGACGGAAATGGAGGTTCCAAAGTGTTCCTGTCAGCATTGACAATTCGGACCCCCATTCGCGCCCAGGCCCATTCACTCGGGACTATTCCCCAAAGAGTTAGCGCAGGCTCAGGACAGCGGCAATCTGCACATCTGGAATTGGCTTAGCGAATCAGAATTCATTTAATTGCTTTCTGTCAGTCCAGTCTGTTGCGGGGAACATGCAAACATTATTTATGCACCGGCTTCGGCTATTCCTGCTTGCAGTATAAACCGTTCTATGCTTTCTGTTCTATGTCTGCACATTTTATACAGATAGAGTTGTCAGCTCATATCAACATTAAATGTTATTAATTTGTAAAGCCCAGATAAGCACATATAGTCCGTTATCAGGATGTTGTTCACTTGGGCGTCATCCTCAAGGTATGTTGCCAGCGAGGCATTCCTCCATTTGGTTGGAACCATTGCCTTCTAAAGGGTGATACCGTCTCTCTATTCGCGACAATGGTATCTATCTGCCCAACTCACCCACCCGCCCACCCTTCTCCTCCTCTGCTCTATCTCCTCGCGTTCCCACCACCGATATCCTGTCCCACCCGGTAGCTGGCCACCTTGTCCCACTCGATCTTCTGTCTCGTCACGGGGAGCTGTCTGCGCAGTCCCTTGAACGCGCCCTCACTCAGACTCGTGAAGCCCCTGTTCAGCTCCTCCTGGTACTTCTTCTCGCCCACCGCGATCTCCTTGCAGATGCCCGCGCCCGTGCCCAACGACACGGATCCGGAGACCGCCTTCTTCGTCAACAGGCGCACGTTGCCGTCCTCGTAGTAGTGTACGTCGACCTTGAGGCTTCCCTCGAGACTGCCTGAACATGGGTCGAAGATGTACATGGAGCGCCATCGTCCGTTCCTGCACTCACTCGGTCAGAGCTCGATCCTTGTTCACCCCGCGGATCGTGTAGTGTAGCCTACCAGAAGTTGTTTGGGCTGTATTTGTTGGCCACGATGACGATGGCCACCTTGGAGTCGTTCTCGATGGGGTATACGCCGTACGAGGCGTTCGGGTAGTGCTCCTTAGCATATGTCGCCAGGCTCTTCAGTGTTGATTTCCTGCGCCCAGTATCAGATCAGCTTAGACGTCCTGCTCGGCGCACCAATTGGTGATGGTAGCCTACGCCAAGTCTGCTTGGGACCCCTCCAGGACGTAGCTCTGGACACTGCTTGCTTTCTGCCATCATGTTACTTCCTGCTTTGTCTCTCCAACCCAAGGGCCCGTCTCGGCGAACCTGTGTAGTGTGATCGAAGGCGAAGCTGGACGAGCTCTCGACATCGAAGTATCTGCCATCGCCCAGGGCGCTGTGCGAGCTGATGATGACTTGTTGACTGCTGCCGGGCAGCTTCGTGGTGACGAACTGCTCCTCGTTGTACTTCTCGAAGGCGGGGCCGAGCTTGGAGATGAGACCGGGTTCGTTGACGGTGAGGGTCTTGATGTCTTCGGGGTAGGGTCAGACCAGGAAGCGCATGGGCGAACAACGCGCAAGGAAAGGTTGAGGCTATGTCATACCGTTTATTACATCTGCCAGCTGTTTGCGTGTCAGCTGGAGTGCTCAAGGGTTCGTGTTGGCAGTGCACGAGCACGACAGCCCTCACGCGCGGCTTACCTCGCCTGGCGGGGCGCCTTCTACAAAAGACTCAACGGTGGCGAGGGAGGACGCCATGGCGGAGTGACGGGCAGTCAATTGATGTGTCCGGATATCGTCGTCGCAATGGGGAGCTGCACAATGCAAGAGGGCGAGTTGAAGGTGCTGTCACTGCTGTTGAAACGCCTTTGAAGGCAAGGCAGGTGCAGACAAGGCAAGGCAAGGCAAAGCGCGGGGCAGCCAAGTGGGCGGGCAGGCGGTTTGCAAATGCCAAGACATCGGACAGTCAATCATGTGGGGAACTGGGGGCCCTGCACATCTTTTTCATATCGCCGTATTTATTTCATAGACGGTATTCTGCATCTCACTCAACTCTCGTCAATGTCAGAAATGAACATGCCCCCAGCTACCTTTGGTGGGTTTTCTATCACAATATCTGGCCAACATTCGTCGTCATTGGAGCTCTCTAAGTGGCTTCCACTGTGTCAGGATGCTGCTATCTGACCAGCTAATACCGCAGATACCTATGCTCCCGTCGTGTTGATAATGGGATGGTTCTCGGATCCCAAGTCTAACTTGTCTACTTCTGTCACTCTAATAACTCAGGAGCTTCTTGATTCCGTCATATACTCCTGGGGTATGTCAGTGACCCTTCACAGTTCAGAGGAGGGAGACCTACTGGCAACATCGGGAACGTTGAACTTCTCAAACATCAACGGCGAGTGAATACTCCAGCCGGCAACCCGCGCCACCGGAGCTTCGAGCCGTACGAACGTCGAGGGGTCTTCCTGGATCGCCGCTGCCACTTCGGCCCCGATGCCTGCGTTGACCATGGCTTCGTGCACCACCATGCATCGTCCCGTCTTCTGCACGCTCTTGAAGACGGTCTCCTTGTCCCACGGATACAGCGTCCGCAGGTCAATCAGCTCAATCGATATGCCCAATTCCTCTTCAACTTTCTGCATCGCCGCATGACAAGTGTATAACGGCTGGCCATATGATATGATGGTTACATTCTCTCCTTCCTTGATGACCTCCGCCTTGGAGAGAGGCAGCGTGTACGAACTGGTCGGTACTTGCTCGACAGCTGCGCGGTAGAGGATCTTCGGCTCCATGAAGATGCACGGATCGTTGCTCCGGATGGCTGACAACAACAAACCTTTCGCCTGCAAGGGCGACCGCGGCATGATGACCCTCAGACCGGGGACGTGGGTGAAGAGACTCTCGGGCGACTGGGAATGGTACAGAGCGCCGTGGCCAACGCCTCCACACGGCATCCTGACCGTCAAACCACCTGCGCTTCGACCCGTAGCGCCTTCGCGGTATCTGTATTTCGCGGCCTCGTTCACCAACTGGTCGAATGCCGGGTACACGTAGTCTGCAAACTGGATCTCGGCGATGGGTCTCATGCCCTCGGCCGCCAACCCGATGCCGAATCCCATAATTCCCTGTTCGGTCAACGGCGTGTTGAAGACACGCTCGCCCCCAAAGTTCTCTGCCAGCTTCATTGTGCAGCGGAAGACGCCGCCGAATGCGACATCCTCGCCGAACATCAGGACGTTTTCGTCCTCGGTAAGCGCCGTCGACAGAGCATCATTGATCGCCTGGAACAGGTTCATCCGTTTCGTCGTGCCATTCTTGACGTCGGGAGGCAGTTCCGAACTGCTGAGCGCTGTCTGCGAGCTGTGTGCTAACAAAGACGTCGTCGAGTAGTCAGTTGGAAGATTGAGTCGAGCGTTGGGGGCATGAGTTGAGTAGCCTCTTCCCTCCCTTCGCGGGGCGCACACGGTACTGCGGGTGATGGACGGCACGGACGCCAGCGCCCTATTGAAGCCCCGAACTGAGAGAGCTTTCTTCATTCTGAGGAGGGCGTGGCGGCAACCTAATCGAATTCATCATCGGCAGCCAGTTGACCACATCTTGGGAGAGACGACGGGAAGACAGAAGGTCAGGAATCCCTCCCGTCGGCGTCATGCCTCTTGTAAGACCGGCTACCTGCGGCATTGAGAGGGTACAAATGGCAAACGTCCATCCCACCGTACCGAGGCGCCGCATCGTCACTGCTGATAACGGTGCAGATTGTTGCCCCGTCAACGCACCCACATGTTGATCCATGCATCATCGCCAAGCTTTCTGTCCAGGCTGCCAGGTTCCTGCTTTCCAGCTTACCAAAGCACATGTCGCAGATTCCTACCGCAAATAGATCGCATACCTAATTATTGATTTCTCGTCTGTTAGAGTGCTTCATATGTCCATTGAATCTTTCATCAATTGCCAGGTCGCATTCCCCGATGGCGCCACAGGAGGACTCTGAGCCTGGACGTCGCCGCCATAGAGACCCAGATAAACACAGAGACCATCACAAGAAGCGGAAACATCGAGAACACCGCTCAAGAGGGGCCGCATCAGACGAGTCAGAGAGTCGAAGTCGACGACGACAACCATTATCCCTCGATGCACTGGCGCACTTGGACGAGTTGAACACAGGAGGACACATTCCGGACCCGCCACGAGAGCCCGCACGGAAACCGAAGCGAGATCGACCGCGGCGGAAAGAGTACAAAGTGGTGGATGCAGAACACGAGTCGCCCAGGATAGAACGACGGAGGAAGGAGGAACAACGTGATTCGGAACGAGAAAATGACTCCCTGAGGAGAGGAAGGCGCCGGACGGAGGCACATCGAGGCATAGAAGTAGAATACGGCTCGCCGAAACGCGAACGACGGCATCGAGACTACGACGAGACGGAAGACGAAGACCGCACACAGATAGAAAGAGAACGGCGACGCGAGAAGAAGAGGAAACGGAGAATCGTCAGCGGTGCGATTGTGGAGGAGGGCAGGGCAACCCCGGAGCTTCGGGGCGGCGCTGGAAGCAGCAAGCACAGCAGTTGGAACAGCATCGACGACGAGAAGGAGAAATTACAGCGCAGTCGTCCGCCTGGGAATAAGAAGAAGAAAAGATGTAAGCTTGAGATATTGCTTACTGGGCAGATCACATTAGCTGACACTACGGATAGGGATCATCGCTGGATGCGCCCTCGTCGTGCTGATCATAGTCATCGTGGTCGCGGTGGTGGTCAGCAAGAAGAACGCTGCGGCTTCTGATTCCAACTCGGACTCATCGAACCTTAACGACCAGTCGGAATCCGACATACCCACCGCCGCCCGAGGAACCTACCTCGACCCCTTCACGTGGTACGAAACGACGGACTTCAACGTCACATACACGAACGAGACGGTCGGCGACCTGCCCGTCATGGGCCTCAACACCAAGTGGGACGACTCGAAGGCGGCCAACGACAAGGTGCCGGCGCTGGACAAGGACTGGGGCGCGTATGCATCGACCCCAGCGCGCGGCGTGAACCTAGGCGGCTGGCTCTCGCTCGAGCCGTGGATCACGCCGTCGCTGTTCGACTCCTACGACAGCAAGCTGGGGATCGTGGACGAGTGGACGCTGTGCTCGCACCTGGGTGCCAGGACGGCGGCGTCGACCATCGAGAAGCACTACGCGACGTTCGTGACAGAATCAACATTCGCCGAGATCGCGGCCGCGGGTCTCGACCACGTGCGCATCCCGTACAGCTACTGGGCCGTGCAGACGTACGACGACGATCCCTACCTGTTCCGCACGTCGTGGCGCTATTTGTTGCGCGGCATCGAGTACGCGCGCCGCTACGGCCTGCGCGTCAACCTCGACCTGCACGCTCTCCCGGGTTCGCAGAACGGCTGGAACCACAGCGGGCGCCAGGGCGTGGTCAACTGGCTCAACGGCACCGACGGCGACCTCAACGCCCAGCGCTCGCTCGACGTGCACGACCGCCTCTCCAAGTTCTTCGCGCAGGACCGCTACAAGAACATCGTCGCCTTCTACGGGCTCGCCAACGAGCCGCGCATGGTCGCGCTATCCGCCAGCGCCGTGACATCCTGGACATCGCAGGCCTTCCAGCTCGTGCGGTCCAACGGCCTCAGCACCGCCAACGTCGTCTTCGGCGACGGCTTCATGGGCCTCGAGAACTGGCAGGGCAAACTGACCAACATGGCGGGGTTGGTGCTCGATGTCCACCAGTACGTCATCTTCAACAACGACCAGATCGTCTACACCCACCAGAAGAAAGTGCAGTACGCGTGTTCGGGTTGGACGCAGCAGGCGCAGCAGTCATTGAATACGGCGACGGGCTACGGCCCGACTATGTTCGCCGAGTGGTCCCAGGCCGACACGGACTGCGCGCAGTACCTGACCAACGTCGGCGTTGGCACGCGCTGGGAGGGCACCTACGACTCGGGCAACGCGTCCACGCAGGCTCTCACCCCGCGCTGTCCGACCGAAAACAGCACCTGCAGCTGCACTAATGCCAACGCCGCCGTGGGACAATACAGTGATGAATACAAGAAGTTTTTGCTCATGTTTGCTGAGGCCCAGATGTACTCCTTCGAGAAGGGCTGGGGCTGGTGGTACTGGACTTGGGACACGGAGAACGCGCCTCAGTGGAGCTATCGCCAGGGTTTGGCCGCGGGGATTCTGCCGGCTAAGGCTTATGAGAGGGACTTTAATTGTGAGGGCGATGTCCCGGATTTTGGCGATGGGGGGCTTGTTGAGACTTACTGAGGGTGATTGGTTGATTGTCGCGGGTGGGCGGTTGTTCCGCGTCGGTCGTTGGGTTTGGTACTTGGGTGGCTCGTTGCTCCGCGTGGGCGGGTTGTTGTTGGTTGTTCCGCGTCGATAACCACTGCTGCCGCGCGGGCCGTCGACATGGACGATGGCTGCTATGCTATGCTCTGCTCGGCTGGGCTGGACGTGCTTGTGTAGGTGTAGGTGTAGGTGGAAAATGTTGATGCATTCTTTTCATAGATGCCATCTGACTGACGCATGAAATTAGCCTTGCTCGAGTCGATTCTTGCGCGAAGCGAAGCGTGCGAGAGCGGGTTGGTTGGATGGACGGGCGATGGCTCCTCGATTTCACAGGCGCACGAGATACATGGGTCTCGTAACAAACGGTGCATGTACTGCCAGTCCGCCAGTACTGGGAGGAAGGAGTTGTGTCTGAATTTCGATCATCGGCATTTCCTCGCATTGGACGGACGGCACTAGATAGAATTACATGGCATGGCATGGCATGGCATGGCATGGCATGGCATGGCATGGCTGGAGCAGTGTGTATATATTGGCTGTCTCTATGGGTACCCATGTATTCATCCCTCTAGGTGGAATCGTCAAATATGGACGTAGTATATAGTACGAATCAGACTTGATGAACGATCATGATCGATGAACGGCAGATCTGTGACTATCGTCACTGTGAGGGAGGGCTGAATTGGCAGTCAGATCTCAGACGACGATCTAGGTTAGTTCACTGTCCGGATTTCGTTGATCAGGGGAGTCAAGCCCTGCTTCCTAGCAATGCTAAAGGCCCGGCGGCGGAAAGAGATCAGTCAGAGAAACAGGAAGAAACGAGGCAGAATCAGATCCAGAAGACTTGGGGAACTCTGCAGACATTCACCCAGCTGCCCAGCACGCATAATGTTCTCCCCTCGGGTCCCCCTCTACACCTGTTCATCTCATTTTCACAAACGAACCGCAAAAAGATAAATGCACGCGCAGGCATTGCGAAGTCATATCCGTTCATCCGCCCCTTGGCACCTGGCGCCTAACAACGATTTCATGAACACGTGTTCGTGACCACTCAGGTCGGCCTAAACGTCGGGACCGACCAGATGCCCGCCCCCCTCACCTTGGTGCAGATAGTCAATCAGTCAGCCAGGGGTATGTATGCCAGGGGTATAGACGGTGGCTGTGGTCGCGGTGGCTGTGGCCAGGCGCGTGACTAGAGCAAGGCACGGCGTGGCGCCAAGGTAGGCCGGACACGAGGCGCGTTGCGGCCGAGAGCGCTCAACTGACCCTGCGTCTGACGACGACATCTCATGCGGCTGAAAGCCACCTGCTCGTGATTGATGGTTTCATACAGGTTCCGGACTAGGCGTATACCCCTGGCTTGATAGAAGTCGGAATACCGTCCCGTACTCCCTATAGGCCTGCTGTCGACTGCCAGCTGGCCGCGCGCGGTATTGGATCGAATCTCGTATTGTTGAACCCATGTGTCGAAATATCGATATCGTATCGATAACGCACAACCAGACAGGAATATGCAAAGGTGGCCAAGTCAGCTCCAGCAGCTTAGGTCCAGGCGCATGTCCGCCTCCGCATCGCCGGGCAGCATTCCCGGCTCCGAGCAAGCCAGTCGATGTTCGATGTCCGGGTTCCGAGGGGAAGGCTCCTGGCTGCGTGGTGCTTCTACCGTTCCCCTGGATCTGTCCCTGAGATCTGGTTCAGGATTCACCGGTCCCGGTTCGCATCGCGGCGCCTCGCAGCGCAGCGCATCGCATCGCAGGACCCTCGATCGATCGGTAGCTGAGCCGAACCTATGGGAACGCCACGCGCAGCCCTGATCCGCGACGTTTCCCGCTCTGCCCCCCGTCTGTTCCGTGGGCGTGGTGAGGATGCGATGGCTGCTGCTGACGAACCTGACGCAGGTCGATCAATTAAGCTTTTGGTCGTTCGTTTCGGTGCGGCGCCGAGATCTCGTCAGCCTTCTGCTGCTTCCTGCCCCATCGATATATAAGCTTCTGCATAGTATTGGTGGCGGCTCTGCGTTGCGTTGCTTTGCCTGGGCATGCTGAGGAACCCACCAAGCCAGGGAACATCACCCTTGGCGCATTTAATGACATGCGCTGTTGTCCGATCTAGGGCACTTCGACGCGGGGGGAGCGTCTCGCCCTTGGACGGAGCCGGAAGGACGCGCCGACGTTTGGAGAGAGCATCGCGCTAGGGATGACCGATCATGCTGCTGCTGTCGTCAGTCAGACCCTGCGTAGTAAGAGTTATGATGCCATAGGCCATTCCAGGTTGCTAGTCACGAACTGCAGGCACATCGGCGGTGAAGGGAGCCTTTTGTGGGATCTCGTCATTCTGCTGCAACTTTGCAGGTCCTCTGACCGAGACGATTCGCTCATGCCCGGTCTTTGCAATACCCAACGACAGCAAAAATAAATCATCGGAAGTAGCACTGGTCTCTCTATGGAATGTCCTCCACAGCTGATACCAGACATATTTACCGTCGCTGGAAAGGGGCACAGTGGTGAGAGGCCAGCAGCATATCACTCTCTGGTGACCTCTTTTAGAAGGTGTTGACCGGCCTCATCAGAGTGTGCAGTGCCCAGCTCCAGCAGTATCGTATACTAGTATACGGCCGGTACGAGAAGTGGTATGCACGCTCTCCCCCCTGCTCACTTCGGCGGCTTGACGCCAATCAGCTGATTGGCGGTATCGGAACGTTTCTCTGCCACTGGACTGGTATTTGGTGTGACCAGCCGTCTCCTGTGGCTTGCAGCGTCCTACCGTCTCGAACATCTCAGACAGCCACCGGGCTGCCACATGCCTACAACACTCGAAGGCGTGGTAGAGTCCAAACGTTGAGGAAAACTGCTGTTCACATTCGCAGGATGCTTACCAGACTAACCACTTCCCTAACTTTTAGATGTTGTCTGGCCTCTTACCCGGAGTCTGGCCACCCTCGGTCACTCCTTTTGCTCGAAGTGTCATGCAGATCCAACACTCGTCGGGCCGATGTCATTGCGCGGCAATGAGCGAGATTTTAGGCGGCCCATGCTGCATGAGGCAGGGGAGAAGGAGGATGGAAAAAGTAAAAATGAATGGAAAAACCGAACCGCCGAGCGGCCTCTATTGGCTGCCAAGGTCGAGTCTTGCCGCCCCAAATTTGTCCTCATTGGCGAACCCGAAATCAAATAGAAAAGGTTCCCCAGCCATGAGGCCTGTCGTGCCTCAGTAGCACTATGGTACCTTGCTGTTCTTCGTATGCCCGTTGCCAGTATCATGCGGTAGACCTGAGGTGATGTAGGTGTAAATATGATATTGTTTAGGTGTGAGGGATATCGAAACTCCTGTGAGGCGTCAGTACTAGCGAGTAGAGCAAGGCAAAGCCATCAGCGGTTGCACAGCGTCTCTGATTTGACTGTTGGTTGATCACGTCTTTGTCAGACACCTCAGGGTTATTGTGCAGGCTTGGCATCTCCAAACCACGTCCAGAATACGCGTGTGCCCAGCCCCTAAATATGCAGACAATCGTCTTATTGAAGGATTCGTGCGTCTCGTACGTAGGATGCGAGCGTTGACATCACGAGGTCACACAAATCGGACACCTGCAATGTGCAGAAGTGGGCTGCGTGGTATTGATGTACATCCCGCGAGACACACGGCCCTGTAAGGCAGGGAACGTCTTGAGCCGAAGTGCGTTTTCGGAGAAGACTTCTCCAGGGTCGCACGACGGCCTGCCGTTCAGCTGGACCCTTGTAGGTCTAATTCAGGAATGTCTGTTGGGCGTAAATCTGGGCTGGAGTTGCAAGTGAAATATATAGAAACTTATCCTAGGGTCAAGGTACACATGTACCAAACGCCCATAGATATTATCGACCTTGCTTTAAGAACTTCTTGTTAGGTCTTTAGGCGACTTAACTTACTTTTTAGTTATAAGCTCTTTATAAGTTAAAGATATTAACTTGGTTTTAGATTTTAACTTAGTTTAAAATATGTATATTTTAATTTTGATGGTATTATCAGTAAAACTAAGGTACTAGTATTTATATCAATAGCTGTAATACTTAAATACTCGTTTTTCAAGTTTATCTTTAATAAAAGAAAAAACCCGCGTTAAAAACACGCCTTAACTCTTTAATACTATCTTTAACCGTTTTTAATAGTAAACTTTTGTATAGTTATATTTAAATCGTTTTTTATAGTAGATCATTATGAAAAGAGCTGATTTTAACGATTTACTCATTCGATTTTACGCTTCATCGATTCCGTTTTTACATCGTAATTTCGAAACTATCGAATTTCGCGATAATCTTTCTTATTAAGGCTTTTAATTACTTTATTATAAACTTCGATATTTTAAGCCTTTTAAATCTTCAACAGTTAAGGCTTATTGTCGTTAAATAAATAAAAAGTAATAATTTTGTTACGAAAAACCGCTTCGCCTTATTTTATAGCTTAAAGCCTCGGCTTTTTTATTATCGGCTTAAAAGTATTAAGCTTATATGTAAGAATTATAATTATAACGCGTTGTTATAAAATGATAAAAGATTAATAATTTACGTTTAGATTAAATTTTAGGTATTTATTAGCCTTAAAATTACTAATACAAAGCTTATTAAAATAGCTAACTAGTTAATAAAAGTAAATAAGCGTAATATAACCATATATACGCGATAGACCTAGCGGTATATATAACGTTAAGATATTATATTATATTAGCAAAAAACGAAGCTACTTGCTTTTACTCGTATTATTATATATAATAAAGATATTTTTGGAAGTTTTTAAATTGTATCTTAATATTAAATATAAATATAATACTAAAGTTCAAAATATTTAAAACGATAACGAGTCAAGATTAAGTTATAATATACTAACTACGATTTTTTTGGGGAAAAACTTACATCAAAATCTTCCGCTTAACGGCAGAAAACCTCGAATTTTATACCTTTATTATTATTATAAAAGCTATTTTAACAAGTAGTCGGACTATCCTC